GATAAACAGAACTTTTTTTATATGCGACTACTAAAGCATTCGACTATCTTCTCTTAATAGTACAGAATAATACAGTTTGTTAACCTCATAGTTAAAATCCTTTAAATACAATGCTCAGCCTTAACAGCATCGAATCTCAACAATATCAGATAGCCAGATATAGAACGAAAGTGATAAACTATATATGGTATTATATTTAAAAAAATTGTACTAAAATATAAACAATGTTTAATAGAATTTTTTGTCATTGCTCTGGCACATGTGAAAGCGGCAAAAATTTGATCACAATTGATTTCCTGTTGTATAACTGTGATTCAACAATTGAGAATAACCCAAGTGCATTAAGTCTGTCTGACTGCATAGAGCAACTCATACGAGCAACAATAATACTGGCTACATTTCAACTCCAACGAAAAGAATAGAACTTGTAGATCATTAAATTACTTCTGCTTTATCAAGGGATACAAAGCAAAGATGACACTCGTGGGTTTGATATGTTCAACTGGAGCAAGAGAAAGAATACATCGGTTCACGTACGTGATATAATCAAAATATCAGCGATTTGATGAGAGATCATGTTTTAAATAATAAGAAATACCTTAAATTTTAAAATAAATGAATTGGCACGATTTTAAGTATTTAAATGTGTTGAAATTATATTAAGGACTGAAGTTTTCAAACGTGCTTTATTAACTGAATGAGCGATTTAGAGTGATATCTACCTATTAAAAGACAATTTAACATTTTTTTGTTATATGAGCAAATTTTAATTATTTTTGTTAAATTCGCCAACATATAATAAAAATTTTAAAATGGACCAAATTCGCATTTAGCAAATGAATGCGTTTCATTAAGTGATATATTATAATAAGATTGACGCATTGCATATACTTGAACATACAGAAGCATCCAATTTATGCTGCCGGAAGTAAAGGAAAATGAAATAGACTTACGATTAAGGTGTCGATCGACAAAAATTTGAATGTAATGCTTGAACGTTACAATTACGTATGAAATACATCATTCAAATATCCTCCGCTAGATATGTATATAACATGATCCTTTGAAGTCATTTTCAATGTCTAGCAAGAGCTCGACCATAAAGTGACGTTTGCTCGTTTCCAAAGGAAATAATTCAATGGTGACAAATCCCATAATTTAGATCCCACACCGTGCAATTAGATGTAATTGCAATAATATTCAAATGATATTCTTCCACTGCACATCTTACAGTAGTAGATGCTTTTAATGTTGGTTTTTAATTACTTGTGGACACATAGCTGGCAATAGGTCGGACATAACACAGCTTCATTTCAATACAGTGCTGACAAATCACAGATCTTGATAGCCAATTCACATCGCGATTACGTAAAATTATAAGTTCTAAATAAGTAATATGCGACGTCATCCTATTGAAACCACATATCTTCAACATTTATATCTTTAGTTTCACATAAAAAATTGGTAATTAGATGTGTTGGATGAACTTTCTATGGATGGAGTGGTCTTTTGTGATTTACTTGTGAATTCCATTCTTTGTTAGCATATTCAGCAAACTAGAAGGACACTATTAGAAGGACTATTGTCATATTTTAATATCAAAAATAACAAGTAACATATAGCGGTATCCAAATTTTTTCTTACTTATAAGCAATGACAAATATTAGGATAAGGATCGGAAGCCTAAAGAATAGATCCTATTAAGCCGTTAACTATATCACCACGAATAAAAGTGATGCTGAAGAAAACTTTACGGTTCGGCTGAGTAAAGCCAAGTCAGCATTCGGGCAGTTAAACAATGTGTGGAAATCTAACCAAATAAGTACCCGTCCTAAGCTTCGAATATTTAACTCTAACGTCAAGTCAACGTTGTTTTACGGATGCGAAATGTGGAAAAACTAGAAGTGGATTTGCCACATGCTTAGGAAAGCAGATTTCTGTATAACAAAACAAACCCTACGTTGGCATCCACAAGTTAGTCGTCGGCATGGAGCGCCAGCTAAGACACGGTGAAAACCCGTGGACCAGGAGTTTAAGAATGCACAATACTACTGAAATCAAATTACGAGAGAAGCAGGCAACAGCATAAAGTTTAAAGGAATCGTTGATATTCCATTAGGAGAGAAGGACAGCAATAAGTAAGTCAATACTATATCCGTGATTAAATAGCAAAATTAGAAAAGGGAGAATGATTTGTGTCTTTTGATGTCAAAGAGAGGTAGAGTGAGACGCCTACGTTTTACAAATAACAGATATTTATTAAATGTAGTAGTAGAATAAAGGACAGCATTGCAATGATGATGATCCAAAATTTTGTGTTTGTAGCTAGTGCAGTCAATAATGACAAGTTAATACCCGACCGATAAAAGGAATAAAGCACAAAGCCGTTGAGACTTAATACTGAGTAGATTATGCCTAAACAAAACTTTTACTAGTCACATTCCGGATGATTTTGATAAAGTGGCACTTGCAGGAAAATAAAACTTTATCATATGAAGTTTGATGACAAACGAGATATGTGTGGGATTTATTTATAATTTCAGATTAGTGACTTTAAATCGTTTAATGTAATTAAGTTGCTTATCGTTACTGCATTTTTAACAGAGCTAAACCTAACTTTCCAAGTGGTAGAATGCATGGAAGGATAATGCAGATTTTGGATGGATATCCCATGTTTATGTTTGATTATAATTTTTATATTTTATATAATTCATATATTTTATAATATATTTTAATAAATAACACTCCAACAGAGGCTTATTATTTCCCCGTTTGTATTTATATTAGAGGTAAACTTTTACTTTTGTCTCTGTTATCTGTGTTACGACAATATGCTTTAATTTGTTTAAGAGAGAACTTAATGAATTTCAGCCGCAAATTAACTTCCTTCAGTTTTCAAAGAAGTTCTTCCACACTTTCATTATAGCATAGTCTTGTTGCCATCACGTCAAAAGTGGTTGGTAATTCTATTATTTCATGGATGTTAAACTTCAAAGTACTAAAGTGAATCATCCATCAATTCGAACTACATATGCATATATACATATGTGTACGAAATTTATGAAATCAATATCACAATTAATAATATGGTTTACTGACATCACAAGCATATTTTAACATCTAACATATTTTTGGTGTGGTTTTCTACAGAAAATTTTTATGTCACTCACGCTTTTAACAGCACATTTCCAACTTTCTGCTATTCCTTCGCTGCCGCTGTTAACGTCTAACATTCTGTTGTTGTTGTTATGTAGGAGTTTGTGCATGTATGAAGTAAATATCGAGTTGATTGAAGAAGCAAACATATCGGTATGTATACTACTTGGCACTATCTAATCTCAGAGTAATCACTAATCGCGCGGGGCGGTACGCAGATCTTAGATCAGTCATTGAATAATCACGAAGACTATGAGGAATACTCAAATTAGTCAGTGAGATGGGCGGGACTCTGCTGAAACCCTCCAGCAATCAAAGAGTAAAAGTGCCCAGATTCACTAACACTCGGAATAGGCTCAACATTACATTACATTACTATTGCTGATATTTTTGCTTTTTATTATTGTTGTAATATATGTATACGTGATAGATGAAGTATAGACAGCCGAGTGCAGTTTTTAAACCCAGATTCCCGAATGATATATTTTTTAGTAAAGCATTAAAAATTATTTTATTAATATTTGATTAATTTGTTTATCAGTTTCTATATAAAAAACTCATCAGATCTCTTTCTGGCTGCGTTTAGGACTAACTTCACTCTTGCTTTACATAAATAACTACAATATGATACTTTGACACTCGTATCGATATATTTAGAAGGTATTGAAGATCTTATAATGTATATGTATTATTAATAGGCTAATAATAATGGAAGGCTTGTCCATTTTTAAAATAGACGAATAAAATAGCGGATTTTTTTAAACATTTGACAGACCAACCAATATGGGTTAACTTTATTTCATAGTTGTCAAACCGAACAATCACGAAGTTTTTATTATTGACAAAAATTTATGCCGATATTCTCACATTTATTAAAAGACCGCGTGAAGTTACGAGAGTCCAGTGAATAATATAAAAATTATCATAAATTTAATAGAAAAGTAACATGATCCTAGTTTTAAATTGGTTGACAATGGATGAATGTAGGATTTCCTCGATTCTGATCTACTGTTTTTGCTACAGATAAAGGAATAACCTTTAAATCTTTATTTTTTAGCAAGTATAGCATATTATATACTTACTAGTAGTAACCATTGGCATAAATATCATGAAGTTCTATTATGAGATTGAGCTTATGCGTTTTAAATACATTAAACCAAAAATTAAATCGTTGCACTTAATCAGATAATATTACGAAATATCTGGGTGTGGCCATCAACCATAGATAGTCTTGCACAAAGAAGTATACATATATATTATTATTATTTTTTATTCCATACTCCATTAGAAGCTTAACGACATTTTTACATCAGGTACTAAATTCTTCATATCTGGAGTTGGTCTATTCATTTTATGAATTAAAACCTTTTCTTCAGAAGATCGTTTAAAAAAAGATATTTGAATCAAATCTAAATATTGTTTTGCACTTCAAATTTCTTTAATTTTTTTATTTACTTTTACCATTTGCTAGTATAAAATTGCAATAATGACTTTGTTTTTGGTTTATTTCCAACCTCTACATAAGAGTAAGAAACTCTCATGCATTGATTTACTCTTTTACT